AGGTGACTAGTATGATATTGAACAAAGAAGCCATGAGCAGCGGACTGAGTGAATATACTCTTGTTGTCTACTCTAATGCTCTCTCCACTCTCATCCTTACCCCTTCTTCCTTCATCTTTCACAGGTCTCATTTCCTTCTCGGTTTCTTTCACACTGTTTATACATTTTGAAACTACATTCCCCTGCATGTTTATAATATATATCTGACTCTTCATTTAATGGCAGATTAGAGCGTCCTCCACTCAGCTTCTACATCGTCTTCAGCTTCTTCTTACTTGGCCTTATTGGGTTTGTAAAAAAGACCTTGTTTTTATTTTCGAAGAGGTTCAAGTTGTACGTACTACTCAATTTTCGACTTGTCTTGCGCTTTTCCACTTTGCAGCTAATTTAATCCTCATTATATATAGAACTTCTGCACAGTTAATGGGACTTGCTGGTTTAAACTATGCCTCTGCTACGCTTAACACAGCCATGCTCAATCTCATTCCAGCCTTTACATTCATACTTGCCTTACTATTCAGGTTTCTAATTTCTCAATTTGTAGTTCCTACTTCTTTCTATCTGTCAGGCGTTTGAGTAATTGAGTTGAGACCAAAAACGTAATAATAATAATGTCTTATGGTAAGTTGAGGATAAAATAATTGTTCTCCAAGTCACCCATGATTTTATGTGATTAATTAGGATGGAAAAGCTAAACTGGAGGAGCTCTAGCAGCCAAGCTAAGTCTGTTGGAGCTGTAGTGTCAATTACAGGGGCATTTGTTGTGACTTTCTACAAGGGCCCAGCAGTGATCCACCAACGCTTGTCTTCCGACCCGTTGAGTGGTCCATTTCTCTTCTCACCAAAATCACATTGGGTCCTTGGAGGATCACTCCTAGCCGCTGAGGCATTCATGTCCTCATTATGGTTTATTCTGCAGGTAATTCGATTTAATATTTGTATTGGTGGTGAGTTTGTACAAGTACTAGGCTTCTAGCTAATTAAATAGGACCCTTTTTTCTTTTTGCAGGCCTTAATCCTTAAGAAGTACCCTGCAGTGCTGATCTTACTCTCCTTCTACTGCTTCTTTGTGACCATACAATCTGGATTAGCCTCACTGATACTAGTAAAAGACCCATGTGCTTGGAGTTTAAAACCCAATATTGGCTTGTTTGCAGTTTTATACTCAGTAAGGAAATAATTACCGTCCCAATGTTCTGATTTCATGTTCTAACTCCAATTATACAAAAACTGGAATTAGGAAATAAGTAAGAATTAGTTGAAGGCATAAATCTACTTTGACCTTGAACTTTGGCCTAATTTTTTGTTTACTCTTCTGTTTGTTGTGAAGTGGTGAGTATGTAACATGGGGTACAATTTGGAAAATGTAGGCGGTTGTTGGGACTGCGTTACGTACCAGTGCGGTAGCATGGTGCCTGCAGAGAACAGGACCTGTGTATGTTTCTATGTTCAAGCCCCTTGCTGTTGTTGTCGGAGATGTCATTGATGTAATTTTTCTGGGACAAGTTCTGCATCTCGGAAGGTATGAACACATATTTCTCTGTATTTTGTTGACTGATCTGATTGTGCAAGATACCTCTGAGTTCAATGTGATATACTTGATGCAATTTGCTAAAATGTAGTAGATGATGGTGTAGCTTTTCAACTTGTACTAAATACCATCTTTTTTATTTGCCAATAGTGCATAAAAAGTAATCAAAATCTTACTGCAGCTTGGTTGGAGCAGCTGTAATTATCACTGGCTTTTATGCTGTGATATGGGGTAAGGCCAGAGAAGAGAAGTTGCATGAGGACAGTGGAGAAGGGCAGTGGTCAGAATCATCATCTGAAAGCACCCCCCTGCTGCAAAGTGCAAAATAAGACACAGATTTGTCTTGTATAGAAACCATGGTCTTAGACGTCTTTGTAATTTTGATGTGCAATTTGATGTGATTTATGCATATATATATATATATATATATGTTAAGCATTTCCATCTATCAAAAGAAAAATATGTTGAGCATTTCCATGCAGATGTTCATCTCAGATATTTGGAAATATTGGTATAGCATACAGTTCTCCCACGCTTGCCACGGCCATGCTTAACCTAATCCCCAGCATTTACTTTCATACTTGCCATCATTTTCAGGTTCTGCTTTTTCCTGATAGTAAGAGT